AACCCATTGCAGCCTGGAACAGCAGATTGTGCCTATCTGGATGTGGGGCACAAGGATGGGGCAAACTGCCCCCTGTCTGGATGTGGGGCACAAGGATGAGGCAAAATGCCCCCTGTCTCCAGGGCAAGCTGTAGAGCAAAGGGTGGGGGACCCAGCCATGGCTGTTATGGAGATCTGGCTCATTATCCCTGCAAGGGACTGGTGGTGACAGCCTCCCTCCCACCCCACTCCAGCACAATGCCTTCATCTCCTCCCTCTCTCTTTTTTAGGGGTTCCTCCGAAGCTAGATTACACCCTGGGCAACATCATCCGCCTGGGCCTGGGCGCCGGGGTCCTGCTCCTCCTAGCACTGATCATAGCTGAGACCATGTGCAGGTGGAGGAGGGGAGGGCTCTGTGCTCCATGAGCATGGGACTCCCCCATGTTGTCCCAAGGATTCCTTTTATCTGAGACCCCCAAGGATTGACACGGCCCCTCATCTGATTTGGTATCAAGTGAACTCTATTTAGTAGCCCCTAGGCTCATTACAAGTATTCTTCCTTGAAATAGGACCTGGCAAGAGGTTCCTTAGACATTACAGCAGCAACCTTTGGTGTTACCAGCCTCAGATCCTTTGCTGGTGTGTGGGATGTTAGTTCCTGGGTTCCTTGTTACTCAAAGCAAGAATCCCAAGGATGCTCCCAACTCCACAGGGTGACAACACATGCACACACTGTCTCTGTTTGTCCACTGCTTTTGTAACTTTCTCATCTCAAGCTTTCTAGTCCTCAAGTTTCCTATCTCAACTTTTTAGATAAGGTACTCCAATCCTATTCCATTTTTGGTTTCCTTTCCTTTTAGGGAAACTACTGTACCTGGTTAGTCCACTGTACCAATCATAGCATTCACTTTTCCCAGTGCTTCATAAGGCACTCTGTACAATTTAATTGCTTAGTTTTGGGAAGGCCTAAAGTTATGCTCAGGCACTTAGCATAACTCAGTTTGCCCGCTACACCCCCCAGATGCCCCCACATGCCCCACCACCACCCCTGTGTTTGGGACACGACACCCCACTCCTCTCTTGGATGGAGCACTGAAAATTCATTGGGGACTTGGGCCAGTGGGCAAGGGAATGAGGTTGAGATCAAGGGTCAAATGGGGATCTGGCCCTAACCATGGGCCTGGGCTTTAATGGGGTTTTCCTGGTCTCTGTGGGATTGTAGCAAGAAACCCTTTTTTTGCTTCCTCCCCCCACCCCCACAAATGTGAAGCTCCTCCATATGGCAAAAGCCCCTCTTTCACTATTTGCCCCCTTTTGGGGATGCTTTCTCTTTTCTACCTTTTCTTCCTTCCTCTCTCTTTTTCTTTTATTATTTTATTATTATTTTTATATAAGGTGTATTTTCAGTGAAAATAGAGCTTGTAGATGCTTTTACAAATGTACTTCTAAGTTTAAAAGTCAGTTGTACTATGTAACAATGCTAGCAACAGCATGAATCTCTGTATGGAGCGGGTCCCTGAATGAATAGTGGTTGATTGTGTAACACAGTAGCAAATCTGAATAAACAAGTTAACGAGCGGCAGTTAACACCTACAAAATTACAGACCAAGAAGAGGAAAGAATCAATAAAGAGCCAGGAATTCCCGGAAACTTCATTGTTAAAGGTACAGAAGCCCCCATTTGAACTAATCAACACTGGAAACAGACCCTTCGGGCTGAAATACCCCCTGATCAACCACTTCCAGAGCTCCATTCATTACGGCAGTGAATCAATCAAAATTCATCAACAGACTCCTGAGACTGCACGTACATGTGGACATGGCCCCTGGGGTTGACAGCTGCCATCCAGCAACTACCAAGAGGGACGTCCCTTGAGGTCAACGACCCTTGGATTGGGTAAACCCGAGAATTGGGGAGTCACCAAAATCTGCCAGAGAGGGATAAAAGGCAGCAAAGACTGACCCCCAATGGTGCCCTCTTTGACCAGACCAGCACCCTGCCTGTCCAGCCAGAAGGACCAGCTGGCGACCCCCTTCTGCAGCAACATCACACTGAAAGAAGCCTCGAGTGGCCATCAACAGCGGACTCCAGCACTTGTGGATAGATATATCTTGACACCAGTGCTTAGTGTTCAGAACTAGCTACTGTGAGTGTGTGCATGTATGTGAGTGTTTGAGGGGACTGGCACCAAGATTTATGGTCTGACTTTTGCATCCGTCCAATAAACTAGAATTTTATGATGATCCTGTGAGTTGGTCCTTTGTAGCCAACAGGATCAGACACAGAGTGGCAGCCTGATCTCTCTGTCACAGCAACAGGCTGGTCTCCATTGCATGATCTTCCTCAGCCTCCATAGCAATGGGCCTGGTCTCTGTGTGCAGTAGGTCTGGTCTCCATGGCAAGGGGCAGAGTTTCTGGAGCCCTGGCCTCTGAAGCAATGGGTCTGGTCCACACAAAACAAGCCTCCAAGGTGTCCACATGATGGATGTGGTCTCTGCTGCTCTAGTCTCCATGGTGGCTAGGCCTAGTCTGCATAACCGGTCTCTATGGTCCCTCTGGCAATGGACCTGGTTTCTGGAACACCAACATCCACAGTGACAGGCCTGGTCTTGAGTGGGAATGGGCCTTATCTCCATAGCAACAGCCATAGTCCCTTGGCTCTGGCCTCCATAGCAGCAGGCCAGTCTGAATAGCACAGGCCTCCATACCAATAGTCTGTGGAGCATGGGTCTCCACAGTGATGGGCCTGTTCTCCATAGCACCAGCTTCTACAGCACTAGGGCCCTTAGTGTCATCCCTCTGTGCCTCCTAAACACTGTTTATCCCCTGCTCCTCGGGAGCTGGTGAAACTCCCAGTCCCCACACCAGGGTCAACCCCAGTATGAGCAGGGCCAACTTCAGTATGGGGTCAGGTAGCAAGGACACAGCCCTGGGAGGTGGTCAGCCTGTGGGGGAACACTGGAAGTTCACAGGAGGGGTTGGGTGAGTCACCAGAAGGGCAGGGGGTGAAGGTAAGACCCCAGACCTCTGTGGGCACCAGGATAGTCACCATCTGGGGGGGCCATGGGGGCTGTGAGACCCATGGCCCCACCCAGCCTGGTATACCACCCTATTCCTGTTGTCCTGGGTCACACCTACAGGCCCAGCTAAGTAAAATAACCCCCTGCCACTATGACTGTCATGGAAAGGATCTCACCACACCAGGATGGGACACCAGGCAGCACCTGCTGTGAAAACATGTTGCTTTCTACCATCACATGCATGTGGCCCATTGATCTCCCTAGACACATCTATATAAGACGCTTACTGCACAGTAACACTGCTCAGTAGCGCACCAGTCAAAAACCATTCTAATAAGCCACTGTGCAGTGTTATTAGGCTACTGCGCAGTAACCATCATGAAAAAATTGTGTGCCAGCACTACTGTGCAGTAACTATAGTTACTGCACATTTAGTTAGTACAGGTTTCCCTTGATTGATGCAGTACATGCGTTCCCAGACAACAGTGCATAAATCGAAATCGCATAAAGCGAATGCATTTTACAACGTTACAAATAGGGATAGGTTCCCATGGTGGTGAGGGAGGGAGGGAGGGACAGTGGGAGGGAGGCTGGGACTAGGGAAGGAGCAGGGGGTGCAGTTCCGCTCCTGGGGCTGCACAAGACAACAAAGCAAAGGGAACAGAGCAACACTCGCCTCCTACTGTCCTGCAACAGCCCCAGGGGAGGCCAATGCCAGCTGCCTGTAGCCTCTGGACTACACCGTGCCCTGGTGCAGGCAGCTGGTATCAGCTGCTCCCAGGGCCACTCCAGCATGGGCTGAGGTGAGTGCCATGCCTCCTGGGGCTCCACTTGTCCGCGCTTACCCCACCCCATGCTGGAGCAGCCCTGGGAGCAGCCAACACCAGCTGCCTGCACCAGGACACGGTGCAGCCCAAGAGCAGAGGTAAATGCAGACAAGCAGAGCCCAGGTGTGGGGGTGACAGGTGGAGCACGGTGCACCCCAGTGGCTCCAGGCAGCTGGTGCAGGCCGCTCCCGGGGCCACTGCAGCGGAGGCTTGGGTGAGTGGGGCCACGGCCCTTTCCCCTCCCCCCATAGACTCACCTGCTTGGGCTGGGGGTGGGGCATCTACGCTGATTGCATAAGAGTGAATTTTTATATAAAGAACTCACATAAATTGAGGGAAACCAGTACTTCAATAAGCGAGTACTCAGCTAAATGCACAGTAACTACCACACATAAATTAATGTGTAGATGTGTCCCCTATGTCATACCAGCCTCCTTCCTTCTCCATAATAAACAGCAGTAATAAGGCTCCCCCTCTTCCCAATTGTCATTCCTGAACTGCTTCAGCAAGAAGCTCCAGCCAGATATCCCCTGTGCAAGGGCCCTATTTGCCAGATTGGGAAACTGAGGCACAGTGGGGAAAGGGACATGCCAAGGCTGCCCAGTAGGGCAGTGGCAGAGATGGGACTAGATTTCAGTTCTGCTGCTTCCCCAGTGCTCTGGCCACTGAGCCACACTGCTGAGAAGTGGCTGATTCAGGCTCGTAGTATCTAATAGGTTACAGTACAAGGCTGGGAGCCAGGACTCCTGGGTCCTGTCCCAGCTCTGGGAGGATACTGGGGCCTGGTAGTTAGAGCAGGTGTGTGGACAGCTGCTGCTGGCTCTGGGCTCAAAGCAGACAGCTTGGCCTTATCACTAGTCTTTGTGGGTGGAGTTGAGTAACGCTTCTTTTCCTCAGAGGTTCTGATTCAGGAAGTGGGCCAGCAGAGCGCTCCTTCCTGGGCAGCTAATCACTTGGGCAGTCACTCTGCACCCTAATCTCAGGGACTGACACCCCTGCCCCTCCCCCCTCCACCCCAGACCCTGCATGAATGAGAATGTGGCAGGGGAAGAGACTGT